TACTCTCTCTCTCTCTCTCTCTCTCTCTCTCTCTCTCTCTCTCTCTCTCTCTCTCTGGTTATACTCGTGTTATACAGAGGACACGGGTCACGATAGCGTTGCACGGTCCGTGGAACGCTATCGCAACGCGAAATTCCCTTAGCGATGCATTTTCAGCATCGGCACAGAGGTAAGTACACGCGTCTCTCCTCCTCTCTCTCTCTCTCTGTTCCTCGACGCGGGTGTATACGTGTGTATAGCCGTCGTTATTTTGCTCGGGGGTTAGGTTAGGTGGTAGACACTGTAGACAGGATACAGTGCCCGCCCCGAGGATCCTGCAAGGTCCTTTCAGGAACGTCGATCCGCATACTACATACAGGCTCGCGGTATATTTTCGCGGTCCAGCGAGCGAGTTATTCAATATGCTCAACCCCGAAAGCCCCGGAGCAATCTCCGTGCTCGCACGTACTTCCATATATATATATATGTATGTATACACCTATGTATCTTGTCTGAACTCACCCTGTCTCCTGTGTGTGTGTGTGTACACGACGAGAAACGACAACGACGTGTGCTCGTCTCTATGCAGGGGCTATACGGGGACGAAGCTGGGACACGTAGGTTCTGCTACTCGGGTACACGAGCGCGCAATCGGTCACGTTTCTAAACCGCGCTACGTTGCGGCAACTTGCAGATCGGGAGAAGTTCGAATCGGGGATATAAGCTCGAGTAATTTTGATAAACCGGGCTATAGAATAGGGATAAATGCGGTAAATTTCGGGGAGGATATTGTCGGCGGCTCGTTAGTTTCCACTCATTTCTTTTTTTCTTGTCCGGGATTTAGAGATGGAGTAGTGAATTTTAAGAGAATAGAGATATTCGTATCAAAATTGAAATATCAGTTGTGCTTGTAAAATAGGTTGTAAATCACAGGTAGAAATAGAGATAATTGTGGTAAATTTTGTCGAGTTTAAGGGGTTTCCACTCGTTTCTTTTTTTTCTGGAATTTGAAATGGAGCAGTGAATTTTAAGAGAGAAGTTTAAAGATTGATTTCTACCAAGTTTCTTTCAATCTGAATAGAAAATAGAGATATTCGATTTATAAAATAGATTATAAACGCATGCAGAATGAGGATAAATTTCGAGAAGGATATTATCTATCGGTCGAGTCTTAGGGGGTTTCCATTCATTTCTTTTCGTCTGGGTGGGAAACAGTAGAAATTCTAGAGATTGATTAGTTTCTACTATCAAACTTGGAATATCAGCTAATATAGAAATAGAAAGACATCATCGTTGAAGTTTAAATCTATTTCAAAAAAATAAAAAAGAAAAATTCACGTTATAACGGGTCAAAGAAAATGGTGTCCAATTTTCCAAGATATCCGCGAATTCGACATTCCTAAAAAAAAAAGAACCGCAGAAAAAGGTTCCCTCGAACGCAAATTTTTCGATCGCGCGATACACGCGCGTTAGATCGAAGGAGAGATGTAGCTCTTACAGGAGTGGCATAGGGCTTTTCATAGGGATGCCTGTGAAGGTGGAGGGGATAACCACCTCAACAACCCTCCGCGTTGGCGGCTTTTCGGGGGTGGCTTAGCTCGAGCGTGTTTCACCTCTCCTCTTTCGCTGTTGCCTTCGCCTCTGAAGTTATCAGATTTTGATAAAGTCCCCGGTGTATTAGAGAGCGGGGCGCTGTTTGCGTTTCCACGCGGATCCTGTCTGGCTGCCACCTCGTTCGCTCCACCCTCGTCCTCGCTCTTTCTTCCTTCCTTCCTTCCTTCCTTTCTTTCTTTCTTTCTGCTTCTGTTCCATCAGGAATCCGCGGGGTGCCGGTCGTTGTTGCCTTTCTTTCTTTGTGATCGACCAATTCATCGGCGGCGCGAGATTTCTTTTCTCTTCCACTTCGACCGAAAGAGGGTGCGAATGAAATTGGTCGTTACAAGCACGCGTGTGTATTCCAACCAAGATTATTTTCCTTAATGAAAACTCCTTTGATCGGTTCTCTTTCTCCTCCTC